GGGGGGCAGAATAGGAGTAGTGTGAGTGGGTGGCAGTTTTGAAAAAGGAAAAGAACTTAGTTACCATTGTGAGCATTCAAACAGAAGACCTTACCCATGGCACTACTGTGGAGAGGCCTCCTTCGGGGGTTATTGCTGGAATACTGGTAGTACTGGGAGCCAGGCTTGGTGGGCGAAAGGGTTCCTGGATTGCCCATATCCATGTCCCCTCCAAGGAGACTCTGCTAGAAGGTTAAAAAGAGAAACAGATACATAAGTTTAACCTTTCACATTCTTCCATCCTACCTGACTGTTAGTACTGCAACAGAGCAAACAGCCTCTGCTGAGCTCAAACAATGAACAAAACAAAAGCCAAAACACAAAAGCAGTTGAAGACGGTATCACCAACTCCATGGATTTTTAATCTTTCACTTTGAAGAAGGAGGCAGATGATTCCCTTTAAGCATGGGTTTTTTTCTTAAAAAATCATTTTAAAATGACTAATACTTAAGTTTCATAAGAAAATGCCATTTCTACAAGACGGATGTTTCCATTCCCTACATTTACGTTTCTGTCTGGGAACTATCCATGCCCTCATTTCACAAGGACCAACACGAATCTCATTTTCTGAACACACACAACTTCCCCTGGTGACACACACTGGGGGTGAGTGTGGATGATCCACCCAGCTGAGAACCTGCCTCTCTACATCTCACATCCTGTTCCTCCAGGACTTTGCAGGGCACCCACAGAGAAACCGCGAGCTGAGTTTGAGAGGAGATTCAAATCTCTGCACTAACTTTCAAAATTATAGAAAAAGTAGGCAATCCTAAGTGAACAGGAACAAATCAGAGGACTTCAGCATGCTCTCTTGAGGACTATCCAAAGCTAAAACACATCCCCACAGATTAAACAATTACCTGAACACTAGAAAACTTCTACAAATATCATTAAGTTATCACGCTGTGACAAATTACTAAACTTTCAAAAAATTATGACATGAGAAAGATTACATAATATCACATTTTCTAAAAGCTACATAGAAACTTACCCATTATACATAAATCTCCTGATTATACTCTGTATTGAACACATTGTTCTTTTAATTATTCTGATATGCAATAAAACAAATGTACATTGTACCATTTATATTAAGAACAAATTTGCTGTTTAATAAAGAAATTTTAAAATTAAGTACTAAAAATCTAACTTTATCGTTACTTGTAATCAACTTTTACTGACTGAACTAATTACTGTCCTTGATAAAGTACAGAATGTGTTTTCCCTAATCTAAATTCTAATCACCATGTCACTCACAACAGACTTAGGGATGCTTCACTAACACACTATTCACATGCAAAATACTCTAAATAGGCCAATTATGACTCTGCCCCTGTTCCCTGGTTAACCCGCTGAGAACTGAAAAATTTCACAAGGCAGTCACCAACTAAAACAAAGGGTCCTTGTTTTAAATTAAGACAGTCTTTTTGATTCCTAAATAGCTCAACAAAGTGGCATGTCTTCTGGTGAAAGCAGTTGGTCAAATATGACCCATAAGCTGCAAAATCAAAAATGCAATGCTCTACTTTCCACCTCAATATAGCCAAATATCATAAAGAGAGCTGTCTATTGCGAGAGATTTCTGTGAGTGCTGGGTGAGTAATCTATAAAGGGCTAATCAGCTACTGACAAGCCTGACTTCACTGCTTCCAGCCCATGACTATTTCAAGGGATACATAATAAACATTGCTTTAAAAAAAAAATTCGAAGATGAGATTTTAGCGTTGAAAATTCATTAATGAGTACTGAACTCATGGCTAGCATCTTAGCTTTTATGTACACAGATACCTGATAAAAGCCAGATCGTTTACCACATAAAAACCTTAAATCTGTACACTCAACTACTGTTTTTCTAAAACTTAATAAAGATACTTAGGGTAAACTAAAGTACAGCACTCATAATGACCAAGTTTTCTACAAATCAGGACTCTAAGGGTAGCGTAACAAACACCTTTAAAAAAATCATTTTAGGCATTAAGAATTGAGAATCTCAACCTGAAATTTCACTCTTGATAAATTCTTGACAAAATATTTATTTATGCCTAAATCCAATGTTTCTATGAAATTTCCATTGATAAAGTGATGAGTATGTCAGAATCTCTTTACAAGTTGCTAAGTCTACAAATGAGTGTATTTTATTGGAAAGAAGTTTGGCAATACTACTGCTGATATAATTATTATTATTACTATTTGTGGGTGTTGGACTTCCTGCATTTTAGGCAAGTGCTCTACCAATGAGCTACATCACCAATGAAATAAGACTGACAGCTTGATGTGTCAATAATGCAGACATTGTATTTGCAGACGTTATTATGCCTCTATATCTCTTTTTTCCAAAAACATATAAAATGTTCAGGAAAGCATTGAACAAATATGCCAAAATACTCTCTTCTCTTCTGAATGAGCATAAACCACTGGTTTGATTCTTGTTGGTCCTGGTGGCAAAGGTTTTACTCCCAGAAAAGTAAATCTATTTAACAGGCCAACCTCAAAACAAACAAGCTTGTTATTCTGAATTTTAGCAGCACTCACAATAGAGCTATGAAAAATAGAAAATGGTAACAGGAAAAACAAGCTAACGGCCTGTGGCTGACCTGCTTGTTGTGGAGTTGAAAGAAAATCTTTTCATGGGCCAGTCATAAGCAAATCATGTATCCAATTCTTGCTATGTTACCACATGAACTATATGTGCAGTGACACTACCAGAAACCAGAGAGTACTTCTAAATGGAGACTCCTGGCAATGCCTTTTTTAAACAAAGCACATTCCTGCTTCTTTCTTTTAGACCTGTTTGTTCCTTTTTCTTTTTCACGTGGACAATGGGATCATTCTTCTAAAGAAACAAAAATAAACATTTCCTCACACTTAAGGAGGCCCTAATCACCCCCGTAGGGAAAATGAAGGTAAAAATCTATGTGCTCTTATTGCAGAGTGGACTTGTAAAATGCACAATGACTATTTACTATTGTTTGGTGTTTATGTCACATGAGACGAGAAATTTTTTTTTTTAATTCCACTGGCTGAAAAACCCATGTGAATGTTCCAAAGTTAATGGCATTTGATTAAGACAAATTAAATAAATACTATGTAAAAAGGAAAAGGTATTCTTGTATGACTTTACCTTCATGTAAGTATAGCTTTGCAAACAAATTTATGCTTCATGGAAGTTAGGTTTAAAAGCTAAGTGTTCTTTTAAAATGGGCAAATTCACCCTTGCCTTAAATAGGATTAGAAATGTTTTGGTTTCTGCATTGTGCAACCTTGTGTTCTGCGGTTATGCTGGGTCCCAGTTGTTAGCTGCCCGAGTCAGTCAGGAAACACTGGAAGCAAGATGTGGTATGTCACACAGCTAACCTGTAAATCTTAAACCCATACTGGAGCATTTTAACTGTCCACAGGGTGATGAGACAGGTCCTTCCCCTTCTCATCCAAAGGCAAACAATTTCAAGACTTAAAATACACTAACCAATGAATAAAACACACTGACTTTGGTCCCGAGCTTAAATGACTGGGGGTTCACCCACTGCAACCCAGGCTCCAGTAAAGAAGCAAGCCTAGCATAGGCATTCATAGACCAAAGGCAGCATTCTGTGAGAGTCTCTTGCAATTCAATTTTGTTTGTTTTATTATCAGGTCTGGGCTTTAAGACTATCCTAATATCATCTCAATCCTCCCTTATTCATTTTAGGGGCTGAGTGCCTTAACATCCTTGATCAATCACTAAACTAAGGATACAAACCATGAATTAAATTTGAGAATCAGAAAAGCAGCTTATATCTCAAATTAGATTTATAACTGAATGGTAATCAAAAATAGAACTAACTGCTTGAAGCTTAAATTATCAACTTTTTTTTCTTGTTAAACTAAAATCATTTTGCTCTGAACTATTATTTCATTTCAGTCAGCACTTTAAATGTAATGGGTGGGTGGTTCATTTCTAAAAAGGAAGATTATATTTACCCTTAATTATAGATATGAGTGAGATCAGAGTGCTATGCATGCTGCTTTTGGGGCATATAATTAATTCATCTAATAGGTGAATGGCCTTGAATTTCAGAGTTGGGACCCTGGGAGAGTAAAAAGAGAAGAGGGGAAGGGGGTAAAAAAAAAAAACCCTCTGAGGGGGAAAATGTGCCCCTGGGTTCTCGGGCTTTCTCTGCTTTTGCGTCATTCCCATTACGTTGTGATCCGGTATCAGACACAACATCTTGGGGGGATGCTGTAGAATAGAGAAAAGCAGTCTCAGATGAAACCAGATTAAGCTCCTTTTCTGAACTATTGCCAAATGCTTCTGAGTCTAATTCATGTTTGGGTATTCTAGTACGCACACAGCTGCAATTCTATTCTTTCATCACAAACCTAAGTGATGTATAGTGGCTTTGTATGGCTAACTGACTCTATAAAGGCAGGATTTGTTATCTTAACATGGAAATAAAATTCTGAACCACTATAAAACTTATGAATGCTGGATATCTGTATTGGTGCCTAATAGACTTTGCAGTGTTAAGTGCGAAATATATGTAAAGAGAAATTACAAAGTAGATGAGTTTAAAGCACTTGATCACAGCTGAGGTCATATCTACATGGCTAATTCTGCATAGAATTAGGTTTTCAAAGACACTGCTGAATAAGATTCTTAACAGCCATGGGGAAGTTTTTGCAAATCCCTGTCGAATAGCTGCTGCTGAATTTGCCATTTTGACCACAGAAGAGCCATTGCTGACTTACTACAGTAGCAGGAGGGCGATAATTTTGCTGCTGTTGGCACTAACTCTGCAATCTAGAATATATCTTGCACCAAAGGGCAATGAAGAACACAGCCTTTCCACCTGTCCACATTCGAACGTCAAAGCTCAGAACTGAAGGTCAGACTTTGGGCAGTCTTTAGTCTCGATTCCTGAAGGTCCAGGAAGGCACTGCTATAGTTTACTTTATATCTGTCCTGTGTTTGGTTTCAGCAAAAGAAGACTCAGAAAAGTCAGAGAGATAGAAAGGCAGAGCAAAATCTCACAATCAGGAATTTAGCAGATTATTACTGTCTAGAAAAAAAAAAAAAAAACCTCAAATTATTGAGATTATCATACAACAAATAGTTTTTTAAGAACTTTAGACATTAAATGTATGTGTGCATTGTGTTCCCCAGCAAGTCAGAAGTAGAATTTAGCTGTGCCTGGTGGTATAGGCC